AGCTGACTAGGGGATGGGCGCACCTGGGTGGGGGGTGGCGAGGAGGAGAGTGGAGGCGAGCGACTGCGGCGAGTCCTTGACGGTCATGTCCCGCGCCGTGCCAAAAACTTTGGTGTATGTGAAATACGGGGCTGCCTTGTCGCCAGGCGACCCTGTGGGCAGGATCGTGGGGAGCATGTGGGAGCATGAGGAGCATGAGGAGCATGAGGAGCATGAGCAGAAGCATGAGGAGGAGCATGAGGAGGAGCATGAGGAGGAGCATGAGGAACATGCGGAGCATGACGAGGAAGATACGGATTCATACAGAACGCACTGACATCAGCAGAGAACATGGTAGGGGCATGGGGAATGGAGGAGTGGCACGAGGGTGCGCGCGGGACACATGGGAGCATGAAGGACACATGGGAGCATGAAGGACACATGGGAGCATGAAGGACACATGGGAGCATGAAGGACACATGGGAGCATGAAGGACACATGGGGGCATGAAGGACACATGGGGGCATGAAGGACACATGGGGGCATGGAGGACACATGGGGGCATGAAGGACACATGGGGGCATGGAGGACACATGGGGGCATGAAGGACACATGGGGGCATGAAGGACACATGGGGGCATGAAGGACACATGGGGGCATGAAGGACACATGGGGGCATGAAGGACACATGGGGGCATGAAGGACACATGGGGGCATGAAGGACACATGGGGGCATGGAGGACACATGGGGGCATGAAGGACACATGGGGGCATGGAGGACACATGGGGGCATGAAGGACACATGGGGGCATGAAGGACACATGGGGGCATGAAGGACACATGGGGGCATGAAGGACACATGGGGGCATGAAGGACACATGGGGGCATGAAGGACACATGGGGGCATGAAGGACACATGGGGGCATGAAGGACACATGGGGGCATGAAGGACACATGGGGGCTAGGGATGAGCAAGGTGGCGAACTTCGAGGCGAACCGAGCAGGTTTTGTTTTTCAGCTTAAATTGTTCGCCGAACACTGTTCGATGTTCGCCCGAACACGTTCGTGTTCGTGGCGCTACTGCAGAACGCCCCGTGGCGAACACGCCTCCACAGGCGAACAGCGAACACCTGTTTTTGCCTAAACTGTTCGCCGAAGCGAACAGTGTTCGGTTCGGCAAAAGAGGGTGTTCGAGAAGGGGCGAACACGAATATGTTCGTGTTTGCCCTTTGCTCGTCCCTAATGGGGGCATGAAGGACAGATGGGGGCATGAAGGACAGATGGGGGCATGAAGGACACATGGGGGCAGGAAAGCTGTCCCAAGAAGGATGACGGCAACAACACGGAAGGAAGGCATGGGTGCATTCCTCTCTGCTGATTCCCATCTCCTCTGGTTGAAGGGAAAGTTACCGCCTTGAACGCAAGTACATACTTCAAGCTTGCGCGTTACAAATCCATGCATGCATGCATGCCACGTCATCGCTACAATGTACTCACGCAGCACGCATGGCGCAGGCTCATCCGTCGCATCTCCGGGCCCGATGTTGTCCCATGCACATGTGGCAAGCCGTGATAGCCCGAGCCTCCCTGCTCCGAACCCAAGAAACGGCTCTGTGCTCACCGGTCCTACGGTGGAGGAGTGCAGGAGGGAGCAGCTAGAGAAGTCATGATGAATGTGAGGACAGGGCCAAACTCAACTGGGTGTGACTATTTAGGAGCCCAAACCAATGGCAATGATCAACGTACAAAAATACGGCTGAGATCTTGAAATTCCAGCGTACACTACTCTATCTTTAAAAACGGTTTAATATGCATAAATGCTGTCATTCTGAGGTCGTATTTTATGGTCGATTTTTATAGACCAATAGGTGTACACATAATTTCAGGATTTTATTTCCAATCGTCGCGCCTCGATCGAGTATGTGCACGTGGTTGCCGACATGGCGCGGACGAACCAACCAAGAGGAAGACCAAGAATATCAATCTATGGGACTGGTGACCGTGAAAGTGGGAAGGAGGAGGATGATGAGGCGGACGATAAGGACGATGAAGAGTGCGAGGGGCAGGAAGAGGACTAATTGAGCGCATCCTAGACATCTTGTTAGCATTTTATCGCTTGTTTGCTATCCTGGTCAGTATTAGTAGGCTTGAGCAGCAAGACGAACACATGTTCGTTTCGCCTTTAAATTTGTTCGTGGCAAACGTGTTCGGTGTTCGGTTCATCGCTGGAGCCGAGCCGCGTAACTCGAACCTGTTCATGTTCACACAAATGTGTTCGTCGCGAATGTCCTCTGATCGAAGGCGCCAAAGGCCATTTTCGCTGTCAGATTTGCGCGGACATGGCATTTCACAGTCAGATATGCGCGGATATGGCATTTCGCCGTTAGATCAGAATCGCAGGAGGGCAGGGGGAGGGGGGAATGCATTATCTGCCATGTGTGAACATAGTGAACGTACTCTTGGGGCGAACACGAACGTGTTTGAAACGAACACGTTTGTGTTCGCATCCGACACCAAGGTGTTCGTTTCACAAGCGAACGCCGAACACCTTATTATGGTAAAACTGTTCGTCGAACCGAACAGTGTTCAATTCGCCAAACGGCCATGTTCGTGCAAGGGCGAACACGAACGTTTGCTCAAGCCTAAGTATTAGAATGGTTTTCAACCATTTTTTGTTCCCCTCACACAAATCTCTGACAAAAAAAGGGCAGAATTCTGAAATTTGACCATAAAACACAACTGTAAGAAACGAACCGTTGATGGCATGTTGACATGGAGTGTTGGTGCTTCCAACGATATCGATGGACATGAGCCCAATGGCCAGCCACTGATCGCTTCGTGACGACCACACCATCGTTTTCAGATGCCCAGATTGTCAAGCACACCCCCCGGTTGGCGTGTAGCTCCTGGGAAAACGGGACCCGGTACTGCTCGGGCCAGGTCGAATCGGGTCAGCCTGAGGATTTTCAGCCACTCTGAGCTGACCCGGTACTGCTCGGGACCCGGTACCTCTGAGCTCGCCACAGGCGCACCTCTGAGCTCGTGGAAATTGTTGTCATTCCACACCCACATGACCTGCTGGCCGTCCGCAATGGCCCGCCGGGCGAAGGAGGTTGAGTCCCACAGCACTGTGAAGTCGGCTGTGGGGGGGATGGCGGGGGAGGGGAGGGAAGAGAGAGGGAGGTTCAGGGATGGAGGGGAGGGAAGAGAAGAGGGGAGACAATAGGGGGTGGGAACAAATTGAAGCGAAGTGAGTGAGTGAGTGGGGCAATGGAGAGTGAGAAAGCAGAGAGGGCCACACGAGAGGAGAGGAGAGCAGCGCGAGAAGAAGGGGGGGGGCACTGGCGCGAGAGAAAGCATTTTGAGAGGCAGAGTGGGGAGGTAGAGAACAAGAAGCAGCAAAGGGTTGTCTCATGGCAGCAGAGCATGAGAGCTGAGAGAAGCAGTAAACGGGGTGAGTGAGAACGCAAAGGGCACCTTGGGGGCAGGAAGACGCATCGGAGGAGACGACTGCATCGTCATAGGCATGCAACAGACGGGTGGCAGCCTGGACGGCATCATCTGGCATCTTCTGCACGACTGACTGCAGCGCCATGATGAGGATTTGGATGAAGAGAGACTGCTGGGCGGCAGAGAAGCGCCGAGATGGACTGTGCAGGCGGTGCAGGGGTGGGATGAGCAGGGGTGGGATGAGCACGGGTCCAGGGGATTGGGGACAATGGCGACAACAGATGACGGTGAGTGGAAGGAGGCGAGGGAGCGGAGGAGGGGGAAAGGTGGAAAATGGGGAGAGTGGGCGTGAGAGGATAGAAAAGCAAACTGGGTGGCCTTCTAAGCTGGAGAAGAAGTGGGATCTAGCCTAGAGGGAGCAACCACGAGCCTTCTCAGTCCCCCTCTCAGCCCCCCTATCAGCCCACCATCTCAGCCCCCTTTTCACCCCCTCTGTGAGCACCCAGTCAGCCCCCTCCCTCCCATCTCTTCTCCCAGCCCCCCTCTCAGCCCCCCCTGTGAGCCCCATACGTGCGGTGAGTCGCTCGAATGTATTCCAAGAGCTCTGCTTGATCCTTCAACTGCTGCCCAGAGGAAGGTTGGGTGAAGTTGCAGAGGGGGTGGTCGGCCACAGGGCCGCCAAAGAGTGTGCAGAGGAAGGCAACGAGGCGACTGCGAGAGGTAAGGGAGAGGCTCTTGGCCGGGGAGGACGATAGAAACAACCCGCCGCTGCCCATGCTGCTGCTGCTGCTGCTGCTGCTGGTATCATTGCCAGCGCTGCTGCTGGCATTGCTGGCGCCACCGGTCGGCCCGGCCAGGCAGTTCTCCTTCACTGCGGTGTACAGCGCCCGCGCCACTGCCACCTGGCACGCCCTGATTCGCTCGTCATTGGCTGTCCCGAGGCTCTCCCAAACGAGCAGCTGGTCTCGCTTGATTGGCGCAGCGGCAGACGCTGCAGGGCAGGGCGGGTGCAGGGAAGGGCGGGTGGAAGGAAGGGCGGGTGCAGGGAAGGGCGGGTGCAGGGAAGGGCGGGTGCAGGGAAGGGCGGGTGCAGGGAAGGGCGGGTGCAGGGAAGGGCGGGTGCAGGGAAGGGCGGGTGCAGGGAAGGGCGGGTGCAGGGAAGGGCGGGTGCAGGGAAGGGCGGGTGCAGGGAAGGGCGGGTGCAGGGAAGGGCGGGTACAGGGATAGGCGAAGAGGAAGGTAATCTGAGAACGAGACAGGAAGGCTGAGGTGAGGCGCCTGCGGGTGGAGAGGTGAATCCTGGGACCAGCACAACGTGGGACCAGCACAACGTGGGACCAGCACAACGTGGGACCGGCACAACGTGGGTCGCGAAGCACAGCCGTTTCAAACCGGTCAATCTGGTTCAAGTCGAACCCGAACCAATTCGAGATGAATCGGATGGTGAAAGAATAAAGATCGGCGGGTTCGAAGCGGACGGATATCCTCAGCTTGTTAAGAGAGAAAGGTCTTTTATGTGCCTCTAGAACGAGCGTGAACAAAGCAAGAGAAGAAGCCAATCAGCTTGAAATATGGCCTTGGTGGAGTTGATGGGAAGGAAGAGGAGGCGCAAGGAGGAGTGCAAGCGCATGAGAGGGTTTGGAAAGAAGGGAGAGAAGAACGTGCAAGGCAAAGAGAGCAGCGGGAAAAGAAGTGAAGCCTCGGGTGGGGAAGCAGCAGGAAAAGAAGTGAAGGCTCGGGTGGGGAAGCAGCAGGTAAAGAAGTGAAGGCTCGGGTGGGGAAGCAGCAGGCACCTGGTGGCGATGGAGGCGGAGTGGGAGGCCCCTGTGGTGGCCAGAGGCGGGTGCTGGTGGTGTTGGGAGTGGTGGCAGTGGCGGAGACGTGTGCCTCCCCCACGGCATGCTGCTGCCTTGCTGCTTCAACTGCCTCATGCTGCTGCGCCCACGTCTCCTGCAGCTGCTGCCTCACCTGCTGGTGGTGCTGCACGTGGCAGCGGCGAGCAGCGGGGGGTGGAGAGCAGAGGAACGGGCACAGTGGCCAGGAGGGCAGCGGTGGAGTGCATGGGCAGCAGGGGAGAGCATGGGCAGCAGGGGAGTGCATGGGCAGCAGGGGAGTGCATGGGCAGCAGGGGAGTGCATGGGCAGCAGGGGAGTGCATGGGCAGCAGGGGAGTGCATGGGCAGCAGGGGAGTGCATGGGCAGCAGGGGAGTGCATGGGCAGCAGGGGAGTGCATGGGCAGCAGGGGAGTGCATGGGCAGCAGGGGAGTGCATGGGCAGCAGGGGAGTGCATGGGGCAGCAGGGGAGTGCATGGGCAGCAGGGGAGTGCATGGGCAGCAGGGGAGTGCATGGGCAGCAGGGGAGTGCATGGGCAGCAGGGGAGTGCATGGGCAGCAGGGGAGTGCATGGGCAGCAGGGGAGTGCATGGGCAGCAGGGGAGTGCATGGGCAGCAGGGGAGTGCATGGGCAGCAGGGGAGTGCATGGGCAGCAGGGGAGTGCGTGGGCAGCAGGGGAGTGCATGGGCAGCAGGGGAGTGCATGGGCAGCAGGGGAGTGCATGGGCAGCAGGGGAGTGCATGGGCAGCAGGGGAGTGCATGGGCAGCAGTGGAGTGCATGGGCAGCAGTGGAGTGCATGGGCAGCAGGGGAGTGCATGGGCAGCAGGGGAGTGCATGGGCAGCAGGGGAGTGCATGGGCAGCAGGGGAGTGCATGGGCAGCAGGGGAGTGCATGGGCAGCAGGGGAGTGCATGGGCAGCAGGGGAGTGCATGGGCAGCAGGGGAGTGCATGGGCAGCAGTGGAGTGCATGGGCAGCAGGGGAGTGCATGGGCAGCAGTGGAGTGCATGGGCAGCAGGGGAGTGCATGGGCAGCAGGGGAGTGCATGGGCAGCAGGGGAGTGCATGGGCAGCAGTGGAGTGCATGGGCAGCAGTGGAGTGCAAGGGCAGCAGGGGAGTGCAAGGGCAGCGGTGGAGACAATAGAGATGTTTTTGAAACAGACAAGGCAGAAAGAACGCAGCAAGGAAATATAGCATCAGCATTATGTCTCTTGCAGCTTCTGAACACGTTCTAAACGAGTGTTCCATTCCAAGAGAACCACTGAGAGGCAGGTGTGTGATGCCATGCCAGTGCTGTTGAGACAGTGCAGACAGCGCAGTGCAGGCAGTGCAGTGCACGGACCTGGACGACAGATGACATGACGGTTTGCTGATTTGCGTTATCGGGAATCGACGCAGAAAGGAGAAGACGGGAAGAAGATGGGCCTGCTTCTTCTGCTGCTGCTGCTGTTGCTGTGGTTGCCTGATCAGGAACAGCAGTTTCCGAGAGGATGTCTGCACACGAGGCAATGGCGGAGGCGACACAGCGTGACTCCTTATGGGGCTGCCTTATAGAAAAGCAAGAAGGGGACGTATGCTGACGTTGTTAGGAGAGTCTATCAAGGGCAGAAAGGTGCAAAGTAACGGTGGCAGACCAGTCCATTGCAGACAGAAACATTACGGCAAGGGAGGAAGATGTGGAAGGGCCTGACATAGCGAAATGTGGGGTCAGGACGATGGGGACGGCAGGAGGGCAGGAGGGCTGCGAGCACAGGAGGGCTGGGAGCACAGGAGGGCTGGGAGCACAGGAGGGCTGCGAGCACAGGAGGGCTGGGAGCACAGGAGGGCTGGGAGCACAGGAGGGCTGGGAGCACAGGAGGGCTGCGAGCACAGGAGGGCTGCGAGCACAGGAGGATTGGGGGGAGGGCAGGAGGGCACGGAAGGCAGAAGTTTGGGGAGGAGGGCAGGAGGGTGGGGGGGGAGGGGCAGGAGGGTGGGGGGGGAGGGGCAGGAGGGTGGGGGGGAGGGCAAGAGGGTGGGGGGGAGGGGCAGGAGGGTGGGGGAGAGGGCAAGAGGGTGGGGGGAAGGGGCAGGAGGGTGGGGGGGAGGGGCAGGAGGGTGGGGAGGGCAGGAGGGCGCACCAGTGCATGAGGGCGTCTGGACGAAGGGCTCGAAGAGAGTGAATGCCTGCCGGACGGGCGGAGAGAGGGGAAGAGAGGGAAGAAAGGGAAGAGAGGGAAGAGAGGGAAGAGAGGGAGGAGACAGAGTGGCGGATCAAGAAAGAGGACAGCAGGGGAACAGCCAAGTCGGTATGCTGCAAGGTCATTTGATTCGTGGAAATGGGTAAAGAGATTCTATATGCGATCAGGACAGGGAATGTCATTTGGTGATGGCGATGCTTCACACGTAGCCAGACCGTGGCATTCACCAGACGGTGCACTGGCGACAAATTTATAGTGAACTGAAAGTTAGATTTCAGAGAAATCTCAAAACAGACTTATCTATCTGTGAAGTGATGAGACATGGCAGTGAACGGATAGTTGGGTTGGAATGATGGTGGAGGTGTAGTGAGTTCGAAAGAAAGGAAGAACCTGGGGGCAGGAGACGTTGTCAGGTGGGAGGAAGGAGGTGTGTGGCAGCATGGCGTTGCAGGCCTGGAAGCAGCTTCCCAGAGCCAAGGAGGCCACCCGCATCGGCAGAGAGGCAGTACTGCTGCTGCTGCTAGCACTGCCGCTGCTGTTGGTGCATAGCTGTGGGAGGCAGAGAGACCAAACTGCGCAAGTCTGGGAGAAAGAGGAGAGGAGACGGGTGGGGATGAGATGGAGGCAGAGCAGAGAGAGGATGAGGTGAAAGGAGGTGGCGTCAGACCAAAGTGTGGGTGAAGAATGCAAGGAAGGACACCACCTCACAGCCTGCCTTACAACTCTGCACTGCTGCCCATTTCTCTCCCCATTTACCCACACGACACTAAGAATATCCAGTATTTCCACCACAGTATCCCTCTGCATCACACTGCACGCCCTCCTTCCCACTGCGCCAGCCTGCCTATAACTACTCTCCGTCATACCTAAGTTGGAAAAAACGCTAGTTTGAAGTTGTGTTTTGAGTTTATACGCATCTAGAATTCGTACGCTGCGTATTTTTCTAAAATTCGCCAAACCTCGCCCGGGCTGACCGAAAAAAAAAAAACCGTTGAGTTCGCGATCTGGCGAAGTCAAATTTGAGTCTCGATATTCAGATCTGAGTTCGAGCATTGCAAATGCAACCTTAGATCTGAATTTCGAGATTGTTTGGTGGATCACCCCGTCCTATCCACTCCAACCCCATCGATTACCAATCCTTTCCAATTTGTTGCCAACCCCAAGCAGACTCATCCTCCCCACTCAATGTCAGGTCGTTTTTCCCTTCGATGATCTCCGTGTTCGAATTTTTCCTCCCCTTCTTATTTCACTTTCGACGATGACCTACTCCAGCAGCTCCCGTTTCTATCTCTTGACCTAGCATGTAACCTGCCCAGGAAAAAATTATACCTGCCCGGGCAAGCGGATTTTTGTGCGTACCAGACCCCTCCCGGCCAGCGTACTGCGTTTATACGCTAGCGTTTATACGAAAGCGTACGAAACGCAAAACGCGTTTTTTCCAACTTAGCGTCATACCTGTCTGCACCGCTGCAGACCGCTCTCGCCATCCGCCACACAGCCATCGATGAGCGCCAGCAGCACGTTAGCGCCCGTGCCGTTGGACGGCCGCACCCTCCCCTTCACGCCCCCTGAAGGAGACGGCGCTGCAGAGGGCGAGGAGGCAGGGGCGCCGGCGCTAAAGGGGGGAGGCGCGGGAGTGGGTGAGGAGGGTGGTGCTGCTGATGCTGCTGCTGCCGCAGCTGGGTCGAGGGAGGCTGAAGGCAGCGGTGGTCCGTCCTGGCTGGTTGTGGGCTGTGACTCGTACACGTACACGCTCACCCCGCCGTCTGGTGCAGTGAGTGAGACGAACCAGTCGTTGTCTGGCAGCTGCAGCGTGAGCGTGTGCCAGCCTGCCACCTCCGTGAACACCTGAGGAACCTCGAACCTGGTGTGTGAGGAGAGCGTGGGTAAGGAGAAGGTAGGATACTATTGTGGGATTTGAAAGGTCGAATCAAAACCCTCCATTTTCAAGCATACACCACACCCAACATCTCACACAAACTGAGTCGCTGCCATGGGCGGCTCACCAGCAGACGTCGCGGATGGCGGTGGAGCAGAGGTTCCAGGAGGAGGCCGCCATGGCGTCCGTGGATGCAAAGCGCCAGCGCAGCGCCAGCGTCACCGCCGTCACGTTGCTGGCCAACCCGCAGTCCAGGGCGCACCCGAAGCGACCCACCGCTGGCACCTCCATGGGGGGCGTGCATGTGCCATCGCCACACTGCGGATCCGTCCATACGGCCTGAGCAGGGGCGGGAGGGGGGGCGGGCGACGTGCCTGACTCTGGATATTCTGGGTTGACTGGTCCGCACTTGGAGCAGCTGAATCGTTCCCACTGCTGTGTGGGCTCCCGGAGAAATCAACACAACCAACCCCTGACCACCAGCATTTGACCACAGTCAATGAAAACATGAGCCTTGAACCACCTGAATGGTTTTCACTGTAATCACCTCAATCACAATATGCTTGGAATCACTTGAATGATGCTGTCCTTGGAATCACCTGAATGATACTGTCGTTAGTATCACTTGAATGATACTGTCGTTGGAATCACCTAATGATACTGTCGTTAGAATCACCTGAACGATACTGTCGTTGGAATCACCACAACATCATCTGAACATTGGAATCACCTGAATGATGCTGTTATTGGAATCACCTGAATAATGCTGTCGTTGCAATCACCTGAATGATGCTGTCATTGAGCCAGGTGTAGAAAGCGCTGCTGCTGGCAAAGGAGTAGCTCGAGTCCTTGGAGTAGTCCTGCCGCCCTCACAGCACGCACACCATGCACGCCCACACTCGCCCAATCACACACACACACACACACGCACACACACACACACACACACACACACGCGCGCGCGCGTGCGCACGCGCGCGCGCACGTGCGCGCAGAGAATCATGAGAGCCAACGGTTGGAGGACGGCGGCTGCGATTGGAAGGGAGAAGCGCGTGGTGGCAAGGGAGAGGAGAGGCACGTGATGGACTGTGCCAGAGTAGCAAGTGAAGTCACATGGTGGGCGCATGATAGGGCAGCTGGCAGGCAGAGGAGAGGCGGCCGATGGCATACCGGAGGCAGCAGGACGTTGTGAGCGGTGGCCACCTGGTAGCTCTGGAAGGACTGCGCCTGGTGGGTGGGGGGGGGGGGGGGAGGCATGACACACAGAGACGAGCAGAGCGAGCATGCACAATGCGGGACACCACGAGAGGTCTTGAGTTGTGACTCGACATGAGCGCCAGGGCCAGGGCCAGCAGGGCCAGGGCCAGGGTCAGCTGACCTGCTCACACGCCATGCCCGGCTGGGCCGGCCCGCGTCAGTTTAACTTGATGGCACATCCGCGCAGACATGGTGCTGTGTCAGATCCGCACGTGTTTGGTTGGCATTCACAATTAGAATGGGGTGGGCTCGGGTGGCCTGACCGGGGCCATCCGATCTCACTGCTAGTTCAAAAATATCACTGCTGAAGTGCGTGTAACAGGCATGCTTGCTTCTTTCTGTTTGCAGGCTTAGCGGCAGGGAGAGCATGCGACAGGGAGAGGATGCGAGAGGAACAAGGATCCATGCAAGCACAAGAAATGGCGAGCATGGGCAGGCAAGGAAGAGAGCATGAGGAGAAGCGGACCTGAAGGCAGAGCATGAGGAGGCACCTGAAGGCAGAGCATGAGGAGGCACCTGAAGGCAGAGCATGAGGAGGCACCTGAAGGCAGAGCATGAGGAGGCACCTGAAGGCAGAGCATGAGGAGGCACCTGAAGGCAGAGCATGAGGAGGCACCTGAAGGCAGAGCATGAGGAGGCACCTGAAGGCAGAGCATGAGGAGGCACCTGAAGGCAGAGCATGAGGAGGACCTGAAGGCAGAGCATGAGGAGGCACCTGAAGGCAGAGCATGAGGAGGCACCTGAAGGCAGAGCATGAGGAGGCACCTGAAGGCAGAGCATGAGGAGGCACCTGAAGGCAGAGCATGAGGAGGCACCTGAAGGCAGAGCATGAGGAGGTAGAGGGCGGTGAAGAGCGCGAAAACGACGAGGCTCTTGTAGTTGTGCAGCTGCGCCTGCGCCTCCACCACGCGCTCAAACACCGCTGCCCGCCCCCGCGCGCGCACGCGTGATGGGGAGCGAGGGAAGAGGGTGGAAGGACGGAATCGAAAGGCAAAGGATGGGAAGGGGTTGAGAGGACGGGGGGAAGGGCAAAGGAATGTGGTGAGGGCGGGGGAGAGGGGGGGGGGGGGGGGGGGGGGGGGGAATTGTGAAGGGGAGATGTGGGAGCGGGAAGGGGGCGGCGAAAGGACGGGGAAGAAAGGCAGGGGGTATGAATGTGGTAGGACAGAGTTGGCTACGCACAGGACGGCGGGCAACAGGGATAGGGACTAGGAAGCACAGAGACACGCGAGGCAATGGAAAGTGCCACCTTTATCATCAAAAGCGAGCGAGAAAAATATGCCGCGGTCCCGGATCTGTCTACAAGGACCCGTTAGGAGGTTTCAAAGACATGGTCTGAGACCCTAATTAACTGTCTTCAAAGATACGGGTGGGTTGGGTCACATTGGCGCCTTAAACGGTTAATTTTGGCCCGTGACTCTTGGGATAGGTTCGTCGTCCTGCAAGACTGCAAGCGCCTCGAAGGACAGATACAGCACAACATCTGCCGATATTACTATGTGCCACGGGTCTCGGTGAAACATGGAAAGATGGAAGAAGATTTCCTTTTTTTTCTTTCTTTCTTTCAACCACTCAAAGAATCAAAGCAGGAGGCGATTAGGTGGCTGTGGGTGCGCTCAGTACCCTGAATGACCTCCTTGTCCGCCCGCGCCACCTCCTCGTCATCCAACAGCGGCACTTCATCATCCGCACCCGCCCCTGCCGTCATCTCCCCCTCCTTTTCCCCACCCCGGCCACTCCCGTCCCCTGCTGTATCAGCTCTTCCCCCCCCCGCGCCGCCTTTTCCCCTCCCAAGCCACCCCTGCTCTTTCCATCCTCCCATCTACTTTAAATACCGCCTTGCAAAAAGGACCTTACTACTCTAGGGGGCAGGAGCGACAAATGGCGAGGTTGTGTGACGTTGGCGCGTCAAGAATGGACCGTGCGACTATGTGCGAAACTTTGTGCGACAGTTCGGTATGAGTGCGTCAAGCCTGTGCTGTTTCCGTTGAGTGCTCAGAGGAGATGGGCTGAACGTTGAGCAAAATACAGTAGTTGGGTGGAGTTGGGTGGGTTCTGAAGCAGCGCCGTTTTGCAGGATGGTTTACCCCGGATTACTCTGAAAATCTGGTAAACTTTGGGACATCACCATAGCAAGCCCGTTCAATTCCAGTTTGGCCTCAGTTCAGTACTTTGTGTGTCTCGGCCATCAAACGACTGAAGTTGGCAAAAGGAAAATGAACAGCCCTCGTGCTGTATTTGTACAATATTTATAACCACCCCAGAATGCGGGGTCAAAAAGGAGAACTGAGCTACAGTTTCTGCTGCGATTTTGGTCGAAATGGATCCCATCTTGGGCAGAGTTGACCCAAGGGCGAGAATGGCCAGGTCGAGTCACCCAGTTGCTGCGCCTTCAGCCTACCCCTGGCCTCTAGACACCCACTTGAAGCTGCTGTGTTGATGTGCACTGTGCACACAGCCATGAGAACTGTACAGCACTGAACCGTTGACCTTTTTACACATGATGCCCATTTCAGTCCCCTTCCCCATCTTTCCCTGTGCTCCTCTCTCGAGCATGCGTTCACTAGGGGCAGAATGGGACTGAATGTAGAACAAAGGTTGACAAAAAAACTACAGTTGCGGAAATTGTGGGTAGCCCAGCGTGTTTTGTCTGGGAAACTCGAACATCTTGGTTTTGTCGTGGGCTAGTAACGCGCGGGCCGTTGGCTGTGAATGTCGACCACTGGGCGTATGGAGTGGCAGCGGGCGTGTTCAGAGTGGGCGGTTGAGTGAGCATTAGGGTGTATGTCGAATGAAACCCAACTGCCCCCTCCACGCCCACATCCCCCTCAGTTTCCTCCCCAGTTTCCTATGACTGCAAGGTGCTTTTCTACACAAAGTTCTCGAAATTTTCAAACTCTATAACTATATCCTCTGGTACATACCCTTGGTAAGACTTTCTCGCTGGGTAGTTAACGATGTACAACAATTTTTTAGGGGGAGAGTCCTACACCCCTATCACGATTACAGAATGGAACAAGAATATCAGGGGCAATCATCACCACCCTCTCTCTCCCACTACTCGGAACACAAAGTGCGGGTTTTATTAAATTGTACCTCTTGTTGTCTATTGATAGTCATTTATTTGCCCGATGTCAAGCCAAATTACAACTATGGTATCTTCAAAACAGCGTGTCTAAGCTGTGCAATTATTAAAAATTTATGTGTACAATACTTATCTGTCAACAGAACTAGTGCTCGCTAAAGACACAAACTAAGTCTGGCGGAACTGTATCCTTTAAACTATACTTTGAAGCATATTCGTCTTGTTTGTCCGCCATATACTACATGCTCATAATCTAGATGAACGAAATTTTCTCCGTATCAAGTTGGTTAAAATGAGCACATGCTTATCACCTAATTCTCCACGGGTAAAAAAAATACAACAATGGGCATACGAAATAATGTTACTAACATCTCAAAGTATCTTACAATATCAATGGCTGCGATAGAAAATTATGACTGTAAACGATGTGTCATTGTCGTATTCAAACGCAACAATGATGAGGTTTTTGAATGGGATAGGGAAATGGACGTGATAACGATTTGCATCGTGTATACGAACATGATAGTTTGTAAAAAATGTGTGCTCTTACTGTAGTAAGAAGCGGAAGTGGTATACTAGTAGAAGTGGGAGTGTGGTGAGGAAACATGAACCATATATTATACAACTTTATAGAGCATAACAAATCAAACACATACATATAATTTGATACGACCTCAGAGCGAGCAGTAGAGACGCTTGGTGACACGAGCAGTCAAGAACAGGGAGCAAGCGATGCATCTCAATGTGTACAACTAGCCAGCCTCTGAGATCAACTGCCACAAGGCCAGTTCAATAATTTGTATATATACATATATGAATACATATACATAAACAACAAAACAAGCAGTCTACCCGGAGCATGTCTTAACAAGGCCAAGCTCTGGACAAAAAGTCTGGTGGTTACTAGCCGGAAGGGCCTTAATGAAGATGTTTGTAGTGTTGATAGCTGTGGCCATAAAGGCCAAGCGGCCTAGTCGTATCTCTGCAGCTCTTCCGGAAACACCGCAAGTCAATGTGGTTCATTTGGCCCTCTACTCGAGGCCTCGACACAAGAGGATCATAGCCATGTTGTCAGCGAACAAGGTCGGTGTAGAGCTACGCCTCTCACCTAGGTTAGTAAGTAGGTAGGTCGACCGACGAAGCTCTTGAGCAGCCATAGCACCACCGTTGGTATTGGCCTCAGCACTGGATGAATCCACTAAGTGGACCTAAACGACATGGCTCCGGAGCCCAAGATAAAATAGCACCTCTAAATATACCTGCAAGTTTCCAAATAGTCGGCGTAGAATGAATTGCAATTCCCGATCATTATTAGTGGCTCTCTCCTTCCAAACACAAGCTACATGCATAATGTAACTGCCAGGTACTTTGCTACCATCATAACTGCTGCCCAATGAACAGAACGGTATCTTCCAGTTGCAGCAAAGCGAGACAAAACGCAGAGAGGATACGTGAGGTCCGGATGAGTACAGATGATCAGGTACATAGGCACCCCACAAGAACTGTGTAGGAACCACTAAGCTCAAATGGCTCATCTAGAAGGGGGCGGTGAGCCTGTGGGGATGGCTGTGCGGTAGAGAACTGAAGCTTGGACTACTGAATGACTGATTGCATTATGCGTGACTGGGTAAGCATGATAGTATGAGCGACTCTGTCCCTGCTAATCTGCAAGCCAAGGTAGCGGTTCACACCATGGTGCACGTATTCCTCTTCTGTAGTTCAGACTTCACAAAAGCCAGAGCAGCTGTGCCTGCGCTGTCAGCATAGACGATAACAAAGATGGGAGTGGGACCAGAATAGACGATTATTGGAGGGTCGGCGGACGAACGACCAAACCCAAGGTTATGAAGAGTTGTGCACTGTGTGTCTTACCACTCACGAGGTGCCTAACGCAGTCCATAGACTAGTCGTATAAGACTCTACTAGGTTACAAGCGAGAAAGTACCAGTGAAGACAGAAGGACGGTGCAGCCAGAATCCTTAGTGCAGGCTACCCTGGAGAAAGGCAGTGGAATAGTCAATTGAGTGCAGCTCATAGTTTCGCTTTGCTGCAACGTGTAGTAATACAAAAAAAGTAGTCATTTTAGGGGTTGGGAAGAAGGTATGGTAGAAGTCAACTTCCTTACGCTGATGACCTCTAGCCACATGGCGCGCATCAAATACAGGCGGCGATCCAGGCTGCGGCTTCACCTTGAAGATCCACATGCCGTCAACTACATTTGCCTTGGGAGGGCGAACTGCGTCGACGTAGGTGCCTGTGGATCTCCAGGACGCCATCTTTGAGTCCAAGGGTCCTATCCACTCAGAGACCCACAGCCCTGACACTGCCTCACGGTGAGTGCAATGAGTCGCTATACAAAGGAGTCGATGGTTGGATGGTGTTCGGGCACGCCATGAGGCTGGTGAGTACGACGAGGTGAACTTGGAGATTCTGTTTCTAGGAACTCGTATGCGGTGGGCGCGTGAGCATCCCCCTCCTCGTACTGAAGCGGACAGTGCGTCTGCCTGTCCCTGACCCGTGCACAACGAAGGTGACAACGGCAATGTTGTCGGCAGTGGAAGCACGAGGGTTTACGGAGTGATTCAGGCCGCTGACGTAGGCATTGGCGGAGTGCGAGCGCAACTATTGCGATCGTCTGCGACTGGAGATAACTTGAACGGCAACGTCGATGGTCGACGTCAATCTCCTCAGTGGAGTGGAGTCAGGCCGACTTTGGCGACTCATGCGTCGGCTAATCGAGACGGAGGCATCGCGCCGGCATATGGCTATTTTATTTTTTTGCCGGACAAGATCGTTGTATCGAAGCTGCTCGAAGGTCGACACCACTTGATCACATGGATCGAATCCATCGAGCCTCAGCTGGAGATCGTTGGATTGAAGAAGTTCGTAAACAAAAATGTTATGGCGCCAGGCGAGGGGGGTATCGAGCTCTGGTCGGAATTTCGCGCTGCTCACCTTCTGACCTTTACGGCCATTTCGAAGTGTTGCTTGCCTCTGGTGCAAGTTGCATTGAAGTCGTGCAGACTTCGAGTGGATGCTGGCTACCAAAAGTGGCTGTACATCATGTGCACCTACAAAGCGATCGACGACCTCTACATCAGCCAACTACAGAAGAAATTGACCAACATTCGTATAGGGGAGCAGGAAGCGACCGAGTACTGCAATCGAGCGCGACAAGTTTCGGCCGATCTGCGGATGGCCACAGTCGACTACTCGATGGCGTCGTATGTCACCCATGTCATTAGTGGCCTCCCCTCGGGCTACAATTCAATGCACCGGGTGGTGACAGTTCCCGACACGCGCGAGTCTCTGAACGAGGACTCGCTTTTGAGCCACATCATCCAGGACAAGTTCATGCAGGAGTCAGAGCGACCCACAGAATTGCTTCCGCAGGCCCACTACGTCGCCCCGGCGAAGCAGGGATGCCAATAAGGGAAGCGTGGGAAGTCTGGCGGAGGCAGTGGTGGGAAGTCGTCAAACGCGAAATCGACGGAGGGCGCCGACCGCGGAAAGTCGGCAAAGGGAGGAGATCACAGCGGCAGTGGCTCAGGTCGAGAAAGACGTCGGTGCTACATCTGCAATGCTCCCAACCACCTCTCGTACGACTGCCCAGACCGAGACGAGTCTGATGACGACCGGGACGCCAACCGCAGAAAGTCAAATGGTGGTCGTCGTCGTCGAGACAATCAGCCGCGTAAGGAGAATTAGGGGCCGAAGTCGTCTTCGACAAAGGATTC